CCTAATAAAATGATTTTTTTTTAAATGTGAGGCTTCAGAGTGGAGGGTTGTCAATCAGGTTGCAGCTTGATGACCTCACTTGGAAGCGCTAAGGAGATAGATAAATAGCTCTCTGGAGGCAGGACGCATGCTCACCCCCTGTGAGACATCACTGTGGAGAAGACACACGGAGAGAGTCTGATGAAGCCAGACCTCTGGAGCCAGGAAAGCCACATGGAGACCCCAGTCAATGCTGAGATGCTTACAACGCCACTAGATCCACAAGATTCCCCACCCACTGGCCTGTGTTCTTCCTGCATTCAGCGTCATTGCATGTGCTTCATGAGTCTGAAGAGGACTTTATAGTTTGGTATCAGACATATGGGCTAATATTGGACTTATGGACTTGATCTGGACTGGGCTGGGATGTTTTCTCAATATCCAACTGCTCTTGTATATAAATCTCTCTCTTATACACATATGAGTATCTATGGATTTGTTTCTCTAGTCTACCCAGACTAACACATGTACCATTTGTTATTATCTATCCGTTAATTATCCCTAAAGTATTTTAGTTAATAATATTTAATCACTCTCCAGAGTGTCTATATTTCAGTTAGAAGTTTGTTTGGGTGAGTAAACAGCCTACCACTTCTAAGGCTTAAACACTGAAAAGCTCTTAAGCAAAATTCTCTAAGTTGAAGCTATGGTTTGAATATTCAACCTTAGTTCACAAAATGACACGATTCCCTCTCTCTTTCTCTTGCCCTGTGCACCGCTCAGATATTTTTAATTTTTTCACCCCTACACATTACAATGTTGGGTATTTAAAGTTGCAAAAATTGTGGAGCTCAACACAGAAGAACCTCAGGATCCATTCAATGGACAATTTTTATATAAGCATGAAAACGTTCTACACAAAAGGCTACGCATGCTGATCTCCTCACACTGGTATTAGAAATAAATCACTGAGTTTTACCAAGCAGGTTTTGAAAGAAACGGACTCATACCTAATTGCTAAGAAAAATCGTCCCTGTGGCTTTAAAAAAAAAAAAAAAAAAAACCAACCTATTTTTGTTTGGGTTTTTGTTTTTCCCCTAAAAAACAGGATGATCAATTTGTAATGCAAAAACAACAACAGCTACCATTTTATCAGCCTTCTCAGCACATGTGGGGTTCCTTCATTTTTCTTAGTAGAAGGGACACTCTTGGTCTTATTAGTCTTTGTGACATCCAGGACATGAAAAGTCCTACACCCTTAAAGCCAGTCACGGTTCCAACCGGTTTCTTCTTGACTTGTGCCCCCCAACAATTCCCGTCTTCATGGCCGCTGTCCTCGGGTGCCATCAAGGTGTTCTGATCCATACGACAGAGGAGAGCACTGCACAGGCCTGAACCAGCCTCACACTTGCTCCTGTGCCTGAGGCCACTGTTGCAGCCATGGTGTCCATCCATCTCCTTGAGGACTTCCTCTCTTCCCCTCTACCCTACCTAGCTTGTTGTTTTCCTCTGACGTCTGGTCGCTCCTGACATGTCCAAAATATGTGAGACAAAGTCTTGCCTTCCTTGCCTCTATGGAGCACTCTGCCTATATTTCTCCCAGGACAGCTTCGCGTGTCCTTTTGTAGACCGTGGTACTTTCTATAATCTTCTCCAGTACTACAATTCAAATGTACCAATTCTTCATCGGTCTTCCTTATGCAGCCTTCGACTTTCACATGCAGAAGAGGCAATGGAAAATACCACGGCTTGGGTCAGCCACCTTAGTCCTCAAACTAACATCCTTGCTCTTCCATCCATTAAATAGGCCTTGTGCAGATGATTTACCTAATGTAATATGTCTTTTGATCTCTTGACAGCTGCTTCGATGTACATTGATTGGGGATCCAAGTAAGACAAAATCCTTGACAACGTCAACCTTTTCTCTATTTATGATGATGATACATATTGGTCCCACTGTGAGGATTTTGGTCTTTTCATTGAGTTGATGTCCACACTGAAGGCTGCAGTCCTTGATCTGTGTCAGCAAATGCTTCAAATCCTCCTCACTTTCAGCAAGCAAGTTTGTGTCCTAAGCACAATGACGGTAGTTAACAAGCCTTCCTCGAATCCTAATGACGTATTCGTCTCCATACAATCCAGTTTCTCTGATGATTTGCTCAGCATGCATTGAATAAATATGTTGAAAGGATACAAACCCGATGCACATATTTCCTGATTTTAAACCATGCAACATTCCTTGTTCTGTTCACACAGCTCCCTCTTGTTCCATATAAAAGTTCGGCATGCGCACAATAAAATGATTTGGAATTCCTATTATTCTCAAGGTTATCCGTCGTGTGTGATAATCCAAACAGTCAAATATTTTGGCATACATAATCAATGAAATGCAAGTAACCATCTCTCGGGAATTCTCGACTTTCAGCCAAGATTCATCTGACATCAGTAATGATATCCCATGATCTATGCCCTCTTCTGACTCTGGCTTGAGCTTCTGGCATTTCCCTGTCGATGTAGTGCTACAGCCATTGTTGGATGATCTTCAGCCAAATTTTACTTGCATGTGATATCAATGATATTGTTCTATAATTTAAACATTCTGTTGGGTCACTTTTCTGTGGATTGGGTACAAATAGGGATCTCTTCCAGCCAAGTAACTATCTTCCAAATTTCCTGGCATAAACTAGTGAGTGTTTCCAGTGCTTCTATAGCTTGTTGAAACATTTTAATTGTATTTCATCAATGTCTGGGCCTTCTTTTTGGCTAAAGATTTCAGTGTAGCTTGAATTTCTTCTATCAGCACCATTGGTTATTACTCATATGCTACCTCTTTAAATGGTGGAATATCAACTATATCCCGCACC